AAAGCTTGAAAAAAAACAGAAAAGATAAAAAAAAGCATGCACCGAGATTCTTCCATTTCATTACGCCAATACGCCAAGGAATATAATTTAGGCTAAATCCACGCCGCCACGCCCACAGGAAGGCTAACTTCACGCCGGTGATCTTCGGGCCTAAGTACATGAAATGCACCAATTTGTCCAGCAGGGGGATGTAGCCCCCTATGTTGATATATTACTAAGCAATGTTATAATTTAGAATGTGCAATTATATAAGGTAACTTATTCATGTGGAGCGAGGTCAACTTCGTTACCTTTCGGTATTGAAATATCAGAATAAAAATCCACACTAACTTCACATTACGTTTCTGTTTAGAGATAGTGTAAGAAATTCCCTTCCTAGATTACTATTTTTAGGGCCTATATTATGTACATTTATATACTTCATCAATGATACACACTCGCATACACAAAACACACACGAACCGGTACATACATAACACACACACACACACACACACACACACACACACACACACACACACACACACACACACACACACACACACACACACACACACACACACACAAACCGGTACATACATAACACACACACAAAAAAAAACACACACACACACAAACCGGTACATACATAACACACACACAAAAAAAAAACACACACACAAACCGGTACATACATAACACACACACACAAAACACACACAAAGCGGTACATATATAACACACACACACATACCAGTACACACATAACACACACACACACACACACACACACACACACACACACACACACACACACACACACACCCACCCACCCACCCACACACACACACACACACACACACACACACACACACACACACACACACACACACACACACACACACACACACACACACACACACAACATACATAACACACGACACACACACCTATGCAAATGACATGCTTTCGTCGGTCTCACTCCTGCTTCGAAACCCCCGGAGTAAATAATGCAGGCTTCTTAGTAACTTAATAACTTGACTTCGCTTCTAAATACATTTTCCCAGCGATTCCATCCTAACAACTGAATTTCCCTTCCCTTCAGACGATATATGTATATATATATATTTTAATATTTTTTATCTGCAATGTCATTCGCACATGAAGCTGAATCATGTCACTGAAATGAGTTTCTAATAAGGCAGACGAGAAAGTTTTCTTTTTTTATTATTTTCTTTTTTATTCTCTCAAAAAGGGATTCCAATATATTTTCGCGAAGAATGTTTCAAAGTGTATATTTTTCTTACCCCATATTTTTAATATTTTCTTTCATATATTTATTAATTTGTTCATATAATCTATTTATATGTCTG